ACTATAGATGAATACGAAAAAATAAAGTTAGTATGCATTCTTTGTAATCATGAATATACAAACGGTGCTTCTCTTTCGAGTTTAAAAAATCATTTTAAAATGAAACATCGAGAAGAGTTTTCTAAAGTTCCCGAGTTTTATTCACCATTTAAGAGGCTTATTAATCAAGGTTTAAATTCAAATCTTGAGGAAGATGGTATTGTGTATAACAGGAGTGAAAAAAGATGAATAGTTACGTATAATAATGGAAAGAAGGCATATTTTAAGACTAAAAAAGAAGCATTATTTTCAAAATTCAAATGGTTAGAAAAGTATAATAAATAATATTAAGACTCTATGCGTAGACCACATGTATTAAATATATTTTAAAATAAATTAAAATCGAATTTTATATCACTTATAATTTGATTTCTAAAAATTATGTTTTGTTAACAAATATGATCTTTATTTTTTTTAATAATTTTGATTGCTGAGTATTTGTATTTACAATTTTTAATTATAGTAATTAAATTTTTACTATTTTAAGTTAGTGAGTATTAGATTACAATGACGCGTATACTAATTATATTGATGAAAAAAGATTAGTAATAAAAACTATATAAAGGCTGTAATTTCTCTTGAGCGAAAAATAAATAGGGAAAGACCATAGATTTTGCCAAATCATGGCCACGGTATTCTACTGTATTCCATGTGTAAATAGATTTAAATATAAGAAAAGTTTACTAAGAAGGATAAAAGTATTCGCGAAGAGCAGTTTTCTAAAACTGGTGAAGTTCCTTTATATACTAAATGCCAAAATAATCATTGGCGTTGTAGGGATAATGATTGTGAAAATTGTTGTAAATTACATCAGTGTAATGACCTTGTTTGTTCTTCATGCCTTAAATATGGTATCGAATATAAATATATTCTTCCCCGAACTCAAGAAGAATATGTGTGATTGCAAGCAAAGGGTGTCACATATTCAACTGGTCAGCCAGAGCCAACTGATAAAGGGCAGTTTCACAAACAATGTTTTTTTCAATTTAGAGAACAACAAACAGTTAAATCAGCCAAGGATATTTTTGGCCATAATTCGATAAGTTTTCCAAAAAAATTATTGGGCAATTCTGATCATAATCGTGATTATAGTATAAAGCCATGGAATCGTTGTAAAGATCCTCTTCATGCTAAAGATTGTCATTGTGATTTTATGGATCAAAGCAAGATTTGTAACATATGCATGGTTGAGTGTATTGAAAAACGTACTTGTACGCGTTGGGTTATTAATGGGCAAGAAATTGGACCTTGGGAGTTCGGAACCTATAGCTTGTTATCTGCACCAGCTGA